TGTTTCTACATGCATGAAAACCTTATAAGTGTTTAAGTTATAAGTGTTATTATTTTGAAAAGTAGTCAAAATCACAGTAAATCACAAAAGTTTTAATGGTCATTAAAATGTGTTCAAAATTTCAAATGATGATTCATCCCATGAATCATGACACACTGATATACCTATATAAGCTATATGTATAGGCTAAAAGTATCGGTATTGGTTTAGTATCAGTATTACTGGCCCTATATTTACTTCATATCAGATCATACCAGAATTTCCTGTATCAAATGCCAATAAGCCACCGTAGATTAGTTTTTCACATGGCTTACTGGATAAATGTTAAATGTAATTTCTTTTAAACACTACAAGCAGAAAATCATCATACTTAATGGAACATGTTTAAGAAATTACTTTTATTGCTTTACTTGACACAGACTGTCACTGTATGCCTTCTTTGTAGACTAGAAATTCATTTTTTTTTTTAAAAACCTTTCTTCTCATCCAGAGTTATCATTTGCTGTTCCTGTAGCCAACTCCCTCACCCTCCTTTGCACTCTGCTAACTGGCAAGTTTCTGGGGGAAGAGATTGGAGGCAAACGTAAGTCACTCATGTGATAACACTACATTTGTTTGCTTTTTTTAAAATAATGAGGCCAGTCACACAACCGGTGGTATTTATCTAGAAAAGGAAAGATTCAGATGCTGATTTTGAAAGTCAGACTTTAAGCTGTTTAGAGTCATGATTAAAAAGAAAATTAACCACTCTCTAATTCAAAGGTTTTACATATCAGGAAGCAATAAAAATCATCTGATGCGTTGCAGTTCTTCAAATTAAGTAAATACAGTGTCGGTTGTACTAAAGAACATAGCATATTACACGCTGTCATTATTTATGTAACATAAACTAAGCCAAATGCAGAAGGATTATATGAAACGCTAAATACAACCTAACTTCTTCTTCTACAGGAATTAATAGGGTATTTAGAAGCCAGATTAATAGATTACAGATGTCATTATTCGGTGGAAAATCATTTAGGTCAATTGCCATACTTCCAGAGAGTGGACATGCCAGGAAATTAATCCCAAGGTCAGATTGTGCAATTCTCAGACAAACTTGAAAAAAAAGAAAAGCAAGAGCTACATCTCAGACTCTACAAGCCTCCGTTAGCATGTTAAATGTTAAAGTTTATGACAGTTCAGTTAGAAAAAGACTGAACAAGTATGGCTTGTTTCGAAGGGTTACCAGGTCAAAGCCTCAGCTTTCTAAAAAGAACATGGCAGCAGAGCTGTGGTTTGCAAAGCTGCAGCTGAACAAACCGCAAATCTCCTGGAACAATGTCCTTTGGAGTGACGAGACCAAAATAGAAATGTTTGGTGATAATGCACAGAGTCACATTTGGCAAAAATCAAACACAGCGAATCAGCACAGACACCTCATACCAACAGTCAGCACAGTGATGGAGGGGTGATGATTTGGACTTGTTCTGCATCCACAGGACCAGTAACTGCACCTTGCAGTCACTGTGTCAGCATCCGTAAGCCAAGGTGTTCTAGTCCAATGATAGGCTACATGTGTGCCTGACAGCTAAAGCGTGACTTGATCCTAACCCTTGCAACACCACAGCTACAACAGAATCGCTGCAAAAGAAAAGAATAGAGGTGTTGCAATGACCCAGTCAAAGTCCAGACGTCAACCTGAAATGCTGTGCTTAAACAAATCCCCGCTAACCTCAATGAACTGAAGCAACATTGTAAAGGTGATTGGGCCAGAATGATGTGACAGACTGAGTCATACAGAAAACGATTACTTCAAGTTATTGCTGTTAAAAATTGTTCTGCAAGCTATTGAATAATGAGTTGTACTTAATTTTTTACACACTTCGTCTGTATTTTGGTTTAGTTTTTGTTTAATTAATAATGACACAGTTTAATATGTTGTTGTTCATCTGAAGTTGTGCTAAGACATGCTAACTGAACTGAAAGAGGGTGACATTTCTTTGTACCATGACCATACCTAATTAATAAATACATTTTTTTTAACTTTAACTATCTTGATATCCTTGCCCACACATCTGTCTGCAGAGGCTGTCGTAGGAATGTTCCTCACCATGGCTGGCATCACTCTGTGTATTATAAGCTCCATTGATGATATTGACAGAGATACTGGGAATCAGAATTTGACCCAACCCGTGTACTGAAGGAGATCAGGATTTAAGCCAATTCCTCTGCGCCTTCAAATAAATCCTTCGCCGTAAATGGAAAGACGGGCAATGAAGCTGGAGCAGGACTGAAGAGGACGATTTAGATTCAGAGAGCAGCTCCTGAGAGCGGCGATGCTGATGGGAGAATTGTGTCTAAACTAACTCAAGCTTCAAAAGGCCTGTCCAGAAAACTCTCACACCATGTTGAGGGGGGGAAGCGGGTTCATGGAGAGTTCACCACAGAGCTTGACTCGATTTATGACGCTCGCATAGAAAAGCGGTGGTTGTTAACTTTTACTTTTAAACGCTCCGCAGCTGACTGGCATCTGCATAGATCCTGCAGAGACCACATATAAATAAGCCCGGGGTAGATGTCAGCTTCTGGTTTAATGGGGACAGTTTGTGGTGGCTGCCTTTAGCCTGCTGTAGAGCAAGAGCAAGGCAGGAGGGGACAATGTTGTTGTATAGCTTGAGGATAAAATTTTCATCTTTCGCCTTTCCTTTTACTGTTTACTCGTAATATACTATGAAGGAATATACTGCTTTTATTTTCCAAACTACTTTTGAAAGAAAAAGACTTTAACTGTGTAAAGAGTTCAGAAATTGGTCACATGTACAGTAATATATATGTTTATTGTCACATTTAATTGATACAAGACACTGTACAGATGACTGTTAATATTGTGCTCTGTTCCTGTGTTGTTGCTGATATTTAATCAATAAATTCTTGGCAACACTACTGTTCCCCAACACTCATTTAGTAGTCACTCATTTTTCAGTATAGGTTTAAGATTTACCCTAAAAAATGTTTTTTTTTTCTGTACGCATAGTGAATATATTGCAGCATTGAACATCTACACAGTATCAGCATAAGAATCATGCCTGTAAAACTGAATGGACAATGTCATAAACAATACAATAAACTTCAATCAGTTTTAGTTGAAGCTTGTAGAGCTTCTGATAGTGTATCCACCTGTTGTAGTGTTTGTTCTGCTTGCACTTCTCACGCTTACATTTTCTACAATAAGACAAACATACATTAATGTTGTTATTTGGCTCATTACCACAGTTAAAGTACTACTAATTTAATCAAACGTTCATGCGATGTGAAACTGTTAGGATGCCGTGACCTCCTGATGATGGTGGTTTTGTTCTGTTGCAACCGACGGCGCATCCTGCAGGATCTCCTGTCACAGCAACGACACTAAATCAGTGTAAAGGCAAAAGCTATCAGCAAGACGAGTTTAATGCCTTGGTTATATTGATGCCAGTAAAAACGCGATGGTGTTATAGGGTGTGAAGTTGGTAAACTTGCCTTTTCTTTTCTGTGCTCTGCGTGGCTGCTAGACGACGAAGGCCTCGACTTTGAAGACGTCTGCTTCAGCTCCTTTTGAAATGAAAGTCACAAAGATTTTGCCTCCACGTGCTGAAGTTCTGTATTTGTTCAATTGATTAATTAGCTACTCGTGGGTGTGAGTGTGTACCAGTATTTCAGCTTTGGACTCCTGCTCCTCTTCAGATAGTAATGCCTTTTAACGGCACAAGAACAAAACTGGGTAACCCTTTTAATGTGAACACGTGAATTACGATTAAATGTAAACAACCCACCCACACGAACCGTACCTGCTTTCCACTGTACTTGTGTGGGTGCTCCTTGTCGTCGTGCTGCTCACCCCTGATAATTTGTGCTTGTCTCTTGAGAGAAATAAATAGTGTTTTTTTAATGCTTTTGTTCAAAATGTGCAGCATGCATGTACTGTCCTTGTGACAGTGAATTAATAATTACTCCACATGCATGCAGGACAACTATTATTCAGTGGTATTTTTGGTTTTGCTTGTACAGGAGTGAGTGATGAGTGTTATTTCTCATATCTAACAAAACATGTTAGATATGGCATAAAAAATGCCTACCATCTGTTTGTTCTGCAGAGGATCGTCTGGGTTGGTTAATTCCTCCTCCTCCACTATTTCTGCAGCTCTCTTTGGAAAGGAAATATGATTAAAATTTAGATTTAATCTCACTTCTATAATATTAAGGGCAGACAAACGCGCCCACCTCAGTCATATTTTAGCATTTAATTATCTTCTATTCAATTATGAGTCTGAAATGACGCAGAGGTGCCTGAAGCTAACCTGATCAACAGGAAGCTCTGTAGCTGTATTTTCATCCTCCTGCACCTCCTCTGCCCCTCGTACCTCTTCTCTCCTTTTCTGTGCTGAACTTTTAAATACACTGGGCTGGCCTGTCATGGGTAGATATCAAAAGTTTTTTACCACCAAAAAGTGGAGATACTCCTTAAGACTGATTGGATTTCATGAAATCCTCACCAGATCCATTGCTGAGCGGTGGTCTCGTTTGCATTCGATTCTTCCGGATCTTGACCGGCCTGGCAAAAAACATAGAGGTCTCATCTGCTCCCTCTCTCCTGCTCCTTTGCTGGGAAGCTTGTGGGGCTGCAGCTTCATCTCCTGTTGACTTCACCCTCCGACCGTCTGACTGAAATTCATGGGTCACATTGAATATGTTACATAACAAACACAAAATTATATAAATACTCATAATATAGCATCATATAGTGTGAATATAAGTCAGTGGAGACTTGTTTGTTTGTTTTACCTCTGGGGAGTCAAGGAGAGCTGAGTCACTGCATTGGTCTTCAGGCCCGCTTCCTGCTTTCCTGTTCTAATGGGGGAAAAAACAGAAGATGTTCATAGCCTGTTAATGTTTTCTTCTGACAGCTACCAATCAGACCTGACATTTAGGCTGGAAAATAACGATCCTAAAACTGTATTTTAAGACATGAAAATAAAGCAAGTAACTGAATGCAGAGAGAGAGGAGGAGGATTACCTCAGCTCTCCTTAACATCCTTCTCTTCCCAGGGTAATATCTACAAAATAAAGAAACATAGTTATTAAAAAATGGGAGAGAGGAATGTGTGGGATATTGTTCTCTTCTTGTTTCCAGTCGTCTGATTATTATTCATGTGTTAGCACAGACTGACACAAGCACGGGTTTTGTTTTGTTTTTTACAGAGGAACTTCCATGATTGTACCTCTCTGTAGTTTTGGAGATTAATAGCTCCACATATGGGAGTTTCTTGAACCTCTCAGTTCCCACGGCAACATAGCAGCGGCCAGTCTCCAGCTCACCAGCTGAGGACACGGCCACTCCTTCTAGAGAACACAACCTGAAAAACGTACAGGGGTTCGATATTTACTTTATTAGATCTTTCTGTTTGTATTTCACAGAGCTATTGGGAATGTTTTTGACCTTCTGTGTAATGGTGTCACTGACCTGCGCACCGCACCGGTCCTTAGGCTGACCTTCTCTGTGATTAGACTCAAGATCTGATCCAGGTCCTGCTGCATGCTCCGAGGAATGATGAATCGGAACGGTGGACACAGGAGGTCTCCATTTCGAAAAACGCTGAACATAACAAGAAACATCTTAATTCTTGTATGCAGATATGTGATGAAAGAGTTAAGAACTGGTAATTGTTACTACTGGTCTAAGCTGGTTGTGAAAAGATAGTTTCCCAGTGGTTTCCTTAAATGAAAGATTAGGAACAATTATTTAGCAATCAAGGAATAATGAATGATAGTTTAATTAGCCACAGCAACGATACTTTAAATCTTCCTACAGTTGCATTACTTTAATGTGAAATTGATTTTGGTATAAGTCTGGGAAACGTGGATATTTGTTTTCAGGGCAAAGATTAGGGTGTTGTTGATTTTTTCAAACTCCCCAAAAGTGTTGCTAAAGGAAACATCAGGGGAAGCCAGTAGTAGCAGTTTATTCTCTGGAGATCTTAAGGACAAAATTTCCTCTCATCCAGTAGATGCAGAGATAATTTAATCCAAAATGAAAGCAATGGTACTGCCAGCAAACTGTATGTAAAAAATAAATAAATAAATTTCTGATACTATGTATATATGCCTCCGATAAGCAGTTCGTCCAACTCACTGTATAATGCAAGGCACAGGTATATACTTCCTCCATTTAGCTGACACATTCGGCCTCTGGATTGCTTTGACCTAGAGGGGACCAACATAAAATCAGATGCTTGCCACTGCAGAACATCAAATGCTGTCAATTTTTCATCAAGTTTCAAAATTCCCTTAACAGATTTACATCATTCCTGTCCTGCACATAAATACCACTGCATGCATATCGCCAAGAAAATCATTATCCGAAAAGTGTATTCAGCTCATATCAGCTCAAGTGCTGCAGCCATGGAAACTGACGTCACTCCAAGACTCCTCGGATGGTGCATTTAGACACGCCGTGTCTTATCTGAGGGCCCTCACCCATGTCGTCGCATAGTAATGAAATCTGGAGCCAATATCCATGTCTGCCTCTAGCTGAGCTAAATCAGTGGGCTCTGATAATCTCCTCGTTATTGGGTTTTTTTTCCTTCTTTAAAGTGGCAGACGTTTAATTATTTACAATGTGTCTGAATCCAGAAGGAGGGCTCAGAATTTGAGTATTAGGCCTGCCTGAACATGTACACAGCCCTGATTACACTGGGTGGAAGCATAAAAACTTCAAACACAAACACTCAACATACGGGCACACTTCTTGTGTATCTCCACAGCAACCACAATACAGACATGTAAGACTTTAAAGCCAAAGGCCCCACCTAAAAAACAAACAAACACTTATCCAAAATAGCATCTATGCACGCTTATTCTATACTCATGTATGTTTTTTGTCCATAAAAGTAAGACTAATAGATCGCTCTACATCAGAAACACTAAGAGGTCAGTCCTGCCAGCAGGTCAGAACATAAAACAAGTACTTGTTGTGAGCGGCTCTAAAGTGTGTGTGGCTTTGAAATCAATTTAGTGTGAATGCTAAGGGAGCTTCATTATGCCTAATCCTAGCATCCTCGTCACTGTGCACTGCCTGCCTTTCATTTTACTGAAAAGGTTGAGTTCAGCCGAAGAGAAAGGATAATTTTCTTGATGAAATCGTTTGACGTTGCAATATCCCGCTGAAATTAATGAAGCTGTCACATGAGAGTACCCTGCAAGTTCTGAGTGACTGAGTGTTTGATGGACAGTGCAGTCATTAGCCCATTATATCCGCTAATCTACCTAACAGCCTGTGACTTCAATAGGAGGATAACAGGGGACATGCACGGCTAATGCTTGCTCATAAGAATGGGTCGTCACTTTTAAAGGCGAATAAGGTTGCGTCAATAAACAAAAAATCCTGCACTCTTTTTAAATTTGACTTGGAAGGAGTTGAAATGATCAGCTTGATATGACTGTAGCCTGGTGGTGCATTCCTCTTGGTTAGGCTAGGATTAATCAGTTACAGATTCCTTAAAAGGACTGAAATGAAATGAAAGCCTACCTGGGTTTCCTCACGAGCAGTGGGTTGCTTTTTTGTTCTCACGTTCAGGTAACTGTGCATAAAGACAAGGGATATAACGAAGAAAACCCTAACACAGTACTTGATCTGTTTTCCAGACATCAAGTATAAATAACTTCATTTTGTTGTACTCACTCGAGTTTCTTGAATCTCTCAAAGCCAGCAGCAACATACTGGGCTCCTGTCCGTAGATCCTGCAGGTCTGTGACTCGGTGGCCCTGCCTGGGGGTGTACAGAGTCCTGACGGCAAGAGGGGCACCGATGCTCTGGGTCACTTCATTCAGAAAGGCCTCCATGGTGACCACCTGTCGCTGGTTGACCACAAACCTGCGTCCACTGTAGAAGGGGTCTCCATTCCTATACACCACCACGCTCTTCACTGGAGGCAGCAGAGATGCAGCTGCAGAGCTGGCAGCCATCTCTGAGTGCATATATGCATGCATGTATTCTCATTCATTGCACCTAATAATTGCATTTACTGAACCTTTTCATACACACACACACACACACACACACACACACACTACATTCTTTGGGTTCACACATTTCCAAAAGTCACACATTAACACAAACAAATGATCCAGCTACCACTCCAAAGTGCCAAACAATGCTCTGTCACTCACATGCTCGGTGAAGAATTAAGAGGGAAAACTGCAGAAAAGCCAAAGGTGAAGATCAGTCTCTGCTGTTGTTGTGGTAGTGGTCTGTCTGGGCTCCCCCTCACCACGTTCTGCTCCTCTCTATCCCCTTCACATTCAAACACTCTCACACGGACACTACTCCACTGATGGCGGTGAGTATTTCCTGGTTGCCATAGCAGCGTGGCCAGCAATGACTGGCTTTGTGGGCCAAACCATCGGCAGAAACCACAACAAAAGAGACAGGCAAGAGGAGGGGAGAACGGGTGGGTCTCCTGCGCTGTAAGCTGAATCAATAAGACAACCTCTACAGGCAGGTTAAAAAAAGAAGAAAAAAAAAAAAGGCCAAATCCATCAAGCATAGAAGTGAGAGCAAGTGCAACAGCCAGGTGATTCTTTTTCGTAAATATTAAATATCCAAGCACAACAGAAGATCTCTCAAGGGAGTAACGAGGAAAAGTTCAGCTTTAACTTATAAATATTTTTCTTTCCCTGGGTTCTCTATAAGGACTTAAATACCAGAGGACAACAGGTGTTTAATAGGAGATTGCTGTGAACATTTGAAGGATAATTTCCTAATGAAATGAGTGATAGTGATAGCTCAGAAATACGAGCTCCTGGGAAGCATGCTCACCTGGACTTTAGTGAACAAAACTTCTCCATGCACAATTGTAAACCATCTAAAACTGGCACAGTAAATGCTCCAAGTGAAGCCCAAGCGGTAGACAGCACAACAAAGAAAACGTTGTAGAAAAATAACATTTATTTTATTTATATACATGAAAATACACAATATACAGGTTTATTAACTTATGCCAAACACGAAAAAGGTACTCAGTGCAGCAGGTTCCTGCGTACATGAAGGCATCACTCCCACATGTTTAAGTCCAGTTCATGGTAACGATGCCGTCAGGACGCGCTAAGTTTATCCTTCAGCGACAAGTACTGTAGGAAAAAAGAAAGAAAACAGTCACTAAAAGTAACATGTTCTTCTGCATGTCTGGATGAGTGCATTCTCAGTGCATGACAACACATCTATAAAAAGTGTTGCTCCACATCTTGGCAAATTTACACACTCTGGTGCTGAAGGGCGCCTCACGGAAGCAACGAAATGTGTTAAAGATAAATTAAAGGATTTAAATCAGCTCTCAGTGTGAGGGTAAAGGGTACCGACAGCTAAACATGCTTCTACCTGATTTACACGCTTAATACATGGGAGAAAATGGGCCGAACCATCCAGCGTGCAGGTTTGTAGCTGGGGGGTTTGGACTGTCCGTAATAAGTCACTGTTGACACTTACTGCAAAATTAACATTTGTTATCCGATTGTTGGATGTAGGCTCTAGAACGAAGGCTGCTTCTCAGACCTGCTGGATGAACTTAGTTTGGGAACCAGTAAATAAATTCCACTATGGAGCAGAAGCAATTTTATTACAGCGGGAGACTGTCACTGCTGAATAAACGTAGGGAAGCACTACATCTCTCTCTTTCTTCGCCTTACCTTTTTCCTGCTGTCAATTGCCTGCTGAAGCCAGAGCAGCTCCATGGTCAGGGTGCTTCTATGGAAACGCAGGGCCTCTGGGGTACGGGGCACCTCCTGAGTCAAGCAGTACCGATGAGAACCTGATGGAGGGATGGCGAATTCGAAACGGCTCAAAAGGTTTCACCAAATTCAGTTTTGGATTAACACATTTGAGGCTAGACAAACTGTGGAATTAATGCAGGTGAACACTGATTGCATTCTACTTTTTAAGCTTCTGTGATTCTATTTTTAGAGGCAAAAGCTACATTAGGCTTCTCTTTTATTCACAACGGGTCACCACAGCAGGTAACTACACACGTTTCATTTGGCAGAAGGAATCCCAAAGAGATTTGTTAATCCTTTTGGGAGTTACCAGCCCTTATAACTAAATTAAGGACTGTGTGAATGCATCTTCTTTGAATCTTGAAAATTGTGACTGTAAATTTCTTAAAGACTGAACAAGAGGCAATATTTTTTAAAACACCTCTACACACGCACACAACATGGCTCCACTTTGTGTGAAACTTTAATATACCTTTATGAGACTGAGTATAGTTCATATCTAACTCAACACTGCTCCAGACAGATGACGACCCTGCTGTGCTCTCCACCACACCGCTTTGTCTTTGGCCCTCTCCTTCCCCTCTAATAGAGCTGCTGCTGGGTAAACAGGTCTGTGAATCATCTCTCTCTGCTTCTGTCTTCTCTAGCAGGGCACAGTGATGATCTCTGTTCTCTGGTGAGAGTGCAGGGATCTGGGGAGTAGCACTGACATCTGTCTCTGGATTTAGAGGCTTAGTGGCAGGGCTGCTGGGTGGTGGACGTAGGCTGCCCTGAAAAAGCAAAAAGCAAATGCATGAGAACATTTTGTATGTGGGGAAATAAACGTCACCATTATTCGCATAAATGCCACTTACCGTGTCTATGAACTGGGGAATAGAGATCAGCGTGTCCGTCCACTTTAAATGCGTCAGGCGCCCGTCAATCTCCTTCACGATGTCTTCAAAGTCTTCGCGTGCTTTGCAGACTTCTTTCCTTACCAGATATCCACGCGAGCATGCCTGTGGCGAGGAAAGGAGTAATTGTAGTCTCACTATCATATGAATGCTAACTATAGCAGACGTTAGCACCTGTTTTCCTGAGAAAGCAAGAGTGGCTAGGAAGCTAAACGTAGCACAGAAAAGACACCCTGAAAAATTACTCTGCGTATAAACATGTATCATCGACAGCAGATAAATTACCTGCAAATTTACGATTGTTTTCTCCCATTTGCTTCTCTCCATTGCTATGGTAACATGACTATGCCGCTACGGAGAGCGGGAGCGTAACTCAAAGCTTTTATTTACTTCCTGTGCCAAATCTAAAAAATAAAAGGTTGCCCTTGTAAGATATAACAACATATTTACATATTTTCAGATTAACCTTTCATATATGGTCATAAGTGTAATTTTGTACAGTTTACAAATATATGAACCATAAATAGTTGTGTAAAATAATTTTTCTCAACGTGAAGTGATTTATTTTGGAAAACGTCGGCGGAAATGACCGGGTGTTTGTGTTCTAGACAGTCTTCTTGCAATGTTGCTGCTCTTCACATGGCGTTTTCCCCTTAAAGTTTTTCGCCGCCGGTAATGAAAATGAGTGGCGGTTCAAACCAGAAGACTTTATTTCAGACTTGGGGTGTCTCCGTCTCCCAAAACAAAGTTGTTAACCCGATAAAAGATGGCAAAAATGCTGCTGGGCGCCCCAGAACAACTCCAGGCAACAGTCCCCAGGTAGCTACAGCTCACCTTCCTTCTTATCCCTTCTGGTCTGAAAATGGTCACGGGTCAGCATATACATTAGCGAACCCAGTGGGGACTGAGGACCCCACGCCTGCGTATGAAGATGAAGACGATGATTTGATGGTGGTCGCCGTGTATGAAGCTGAAAGAAGCCTCCAGCTTGATAATGCTAAATGTTTCCAGTATGACAACCCTGCCAGAACAGAAGAGCCCACGTTTTCTCAAACCCCCTCAGGTGGGCAGACATATCCTGACTTCCCTGGCTTTGACAGTTCCTCAGCTAAGGTATGGATCTACCCGACCAACTATCCTATCAGGGAGTACCAGCTGAAGATATCAGAGGCTGCCCTCTTTCAGAACACTCTGGTATGTCTTCCCACTGGTCTGGGAAAGACCTTTATAGCTTCTGTGGTTATGTACAATTTCTATCGCTGGTATCCATCAGGCAAGATTGTTTTCATGGCTCCCACCAAGCCTCTAGTGGCCCAACAGATTGAGGCCTGTTATAAAGTGATGGGGATCCCACAAGCACACATGGCTGAGCTGACAGGTAAAAAAAAGAAAATCACATAAAATCTGATGCACAACACCCATCTTCCCCCTTTTCAAATTCTGCACCTACCGCTTCATAGGTAGCACAGCAGCAAAGCAGAGACAAGAGGTTTGGAGGTCCAAGCGGGTCTTCTTCCTCACGCCTCAGGTCATGGTTAATGATCTGTCCAGAGACACCTGCCCGGCCCAGCAGGTCAAGTGCGTGGTGATCGATGAAGCACACAAAGCGCTGGGCAACCATGCTTACTGCCAGGTACACACACTTTGGAGAAATAATCAAAGCTTGACATCATGAAGTTGTATAAGTGTGAACTAAAGAACTAAATCTTAATGGTTAGTTTTGGGTTTTTTGCAGTAAAAGTTATGTAAACTGTCCAGATTTAGTGGAGATGATGTCTAATGCTTGGTCTTCTTCATTAGGTCATCAAACTGCTCGGCAGCCAGACTTTGCAGTTCCGCATACTGGCTCTTAGCGCCACCCCAGGAGGAGATACAAAGGTGAGAAAGATGCACTTTTTTTTCCTGCGCTGTGACCTAAAAGTGAGTAGACTTTAATCTGCAATCCGCCTCACTTCATCCTTCCAGTCGGTGCAATCTGTGATCTCCAATTTGCTCATCTCCCATATTGAGCTACGTTCAGAAGACAGTCCTGACATCCGGGCTCACTCCCACCAGCGCAATGTGGAGAAAGTTGTGGTTCCTCTGGGTGAGGCCCTTTCAGCTTACCAGACACGCTACCTGCAGGTAGGGGCAGCAAATGATTTGTCATGTTTTTCGTCTCTGTTCTGATCAGGACATTGTTTATACTTTTTAAAAATGTAATTCTACAAGGAATAAAATATGTCAGTTCTTTTATTTTATGCAGAACACATAGGCTGCTTATTGTTTCCACAACCAACATGCACTGACCAGGGGTACATTAAA